GAGGAGGTTTACTATGATCACCTGCGCAGTGCCACAAAGGTACGATCGAATAAGAGCCCTTGGTATAAGCACAGCTCACATCTCCCGCTGTTTTTCTGCTCTGCGCTCCTGTTGCACCATTTCATTTGATCTTTAGCTTCTTTCTTCTCTTTTGTCTCTTATGCTGTAACTCTGCTGTCAATGTTCCCCACCCTTCTTTTTCTTCATTCTTTTGCTTTGCCGACTGTTTTCACAGAAAGGATTTTTCAATCTGAATTTGACAAACGTACGTATCGCTCTCCACCGCTATCACCCTATCCTGCATGTTTGCTTAGAGGAAATTGCTCTAATTTGTGCATATTTCACACACTTACTTCCTTGTGACTAATTAACATACCTCGTCTTGTATTGTTTTGAATAACTGGACTATTGGCACCTTCACTTAGTGGATATTTGTTTTTGTTTTTTTTGCAGTTACTGAGGATGAGAGTATAATGTAATTTACAACCTGTGTGTGTTTCTCTTAAGTGTTTCTTTACTACTCCCACCTGTGGTGAGATACTAAGTGTGTGTATAACGTAATAGCCCCACAGAAGCAGTTGTGTGGTGTATTGTACGCCGTCAGCTTCACATTGTATAATGTAATGGGTTAACGGGAAGCCGTAATATAATTCACTCTTCGAGAGTGTCAGAATCATTTGAAGAGATTTGTATATCCATTGCATGAGTGGAGTGCTCTTTAATAATGAGTGTTTAGGTTAGGAGAAGTAATTAGCACATTTTAACAAGCACCTCCTGCTGTACATATGCAGCTGTATTAAAATTAGAGGTGCTAATAATTAATAATTTATTATTAATTAAGTGGAATGAGTGTTTATTAATCCACTTTAGCTCAAGAGAGCTAAAGAGGCTCATCTGGGTACTGAGTGAACGCTGTTGCTTGTGCTGCATGTGACATAGGAGCTTATAAAACAGGTTCAAAGTAATCATGCACAATTATAATGATAGTGTGTTAAAGTGTAATGTGATAACAAGCTGTTAAATAAATTAAATAGGCTTATCAACA